AATCGACATGTTTCAATAAAAGGTCGCTTACAATTGTTCAATGCAGTCATCACACCGACGATCTTGTTTGGTCTTGGCAGCCTCCCCCTTACCAAAAGACAGTTGGAAGAAATTGACGTGTTGCAAAGAAAAATGTTGAGATCCATAGTCGGCTGGTATCGTGTCGAGGGTGAGGCTTGGTCTGACACCATGCGGCGTATGAAGTCCAGAGTTCAATCTGCACTTCGCCAATCGCCGGTGACGGCATGGTCGGAAGTATATCGCAGTACACAACACAGTTTCGTGGCCCGTATTGTCAAACAGAGTGCTTTGCCATTGTTTGCCGCGAGCTGGGATCCAACTCGCCATAGCAATTTCACAACACAGCCGAAGAGAAAGCCTGGCAGACCTCCGAAACGGTGGGACGATGATCTGACATGTTTCAGTCGTGCATATTTTCCTTTAGCACGCACTTGGCATGATGTCGCTGATTCGCCAGAATGGCACTCTTTACGACACCGCCATATCCAATTCTGTAAAGATGATGTACCTTAATTAGATCCCACCTGTCACCCATGTCCTTATAGGACCGTAGTCTCTGACTCGAACGGGCAAAGTGCAAAGTGCAAAGTGCTATACCATTCAAATTTTAGATGAACCGCATAGATCGAAACCAGGTCGTTTTTGTTTATTGCATGTATCGCAGATATGTATGTGTGTACATATATATATATAAATGACAGAGGACCCTTTAGGGTCTATTTCACACCTTGCTTTCGCTTATATAGGTGGTAGTATTTAAAATAAGGTAAATAATCAGGATTTTCCACCACCCCCTCTCCTCCGGAGTGCTTTTTTTTTCCCACCCCTCCCGTTAGTCGCAACCTTGCCGTGCAGGCTCCCAGATCGGATCCGTCGATGCAGATGTCATCGTCCCTTTGATGTTTTGGTGCCTGGGCTACCTCTATCTTACAGATCTAACTTGTCCAGTGCACCAGGGTTGACCTTCCATCATGACCCATCATGTGCACGGGTGCCGACGAATGAAGGCGGGACGAATTAGGACGTTTTTCCGTATGTGTCGGAGCAGAGGCTCGGGCTCACAAAGAGCCGTACTGCAGCTATGGAGACGCTCAGGCCGGGCGTTAGCACGCGGATGATCGGATTCTAACGCTGCGCTGCATGACCCATTGATGGTGTATGCTGCAAGCTGCAGGATGGGATTTGGTCAGTTGCAGATCGAGAACGGCACCCTGCTTGTGCTCGGTGACCATGTGGAAGTCCAGATGCGACTTGTGGAAGGGTGTCTTTGTTGCACCGAGTACAAACAAGTCGAGTCCACCAGTCCACCACCAGAACGCATGCTCCCCTGCAACATGTCTGGAGCCGGCAGCCGTCTTCTAATCTCCACAGGGCAGTGAGATATGTTCCGAGAGGCCAAGGCCATGACGACTGAGTTGCTAGTTAATTACTTCCCGGCAGTGGCGAATTCAGTTTTGGTTCATTGCACCGTGCCGGTACTCCACTGCCGACGCTGCCGCTGCCGGCATTGCTGCACAACTATGCGCCGTTCTTCCGCAAGTTGCATGCGCTTGACCTGTTGACTTCCTTAGATCAGCTTTCTCTACAGCTGTGCATCGCCCGTCCTAGTGCACTTCGACCACAATTGCTTCACAATTCCCAATTCATTCGAGCGCTCACTTCCACCTGAGTGGACTCGCCAAGCCCTGCAGCAAGGCTGCGGCACCTGGTTCGTCGAGACAGCACAGAACACATGTGCGAATACCTTGCAGGTGGGCGATCTTGGTTAGAATCAGAGGTAGCCGCAGTTAGCCGGTAGCCTGTAATCGGGTCTCGGGCTGTCGCTTCAGCCGGCCTCGGGGGTGAGGGAAGACTTGGGACTGGAACTGATGCGATACATGAATCACAAGGAGGAGACGCTTGGTGCCGCTTCCCTTCGCAACTTCCGTCAAATGCCAACTGCCAGGTAACAGCTTCCAGAGACCACGTGCCTGGTTCAATTCTATGCGAGCTGACCCCATGGGCTGGGTGGACATCACTCAGGCACGAGCTGGTAGAACCGGAGGCCACGGATAGCCTTACTATGATGCAGGTGCAAAATCTATTTGCCCGCATGGAAGTGACCTCGGATCGGCAGACGCTCTTCCGATTCCTCAGCCACGCGGACCAGCACGTCATGTATCCGCATGTCACGCTGCAGACACTCTGCAGACACCCTGCAGTCCTTGACGCGGGTCACACACGCCAAGGTTACATAATGGAAAATCCCTGTCCGTCCATAGTGACTTTGCTGCTAGAGAAGCAACATCGTTTGTTTGCTGGGAGGGCAGATCCTGAGTCAAGCCATCATCAGTCGCTTGCGCAAAAAAACCGCAGCAGCTCAGGCTGCTGACCACAGAGAAGCTGCCGCTATCGAGAGTAAGAAGTTCAGCTTCAACGGGTGCCTTGTCCGTTTCGGTGACTGTGTTCTGTGATTGAAGCTGAGTATGTGCAGTCGAGGTTCTTGTCGCTTATCTGCCGCTGCACTACATCGTGGGTGCTTCACCGGGTCTTGCCCCTCGCCGAATTGTTTTGGAAGGTGGCCCACTTCCTCAGCCATCTCCATTCATTCACGGGACGGACTCTGTCCGTTTCCATGGGTTTTGGCCAACATGACCAGAGAAACCGGTGTCCCAGCGAGGGTCATGCTCATGGCCGAGTCATCTGGAGCGCTCGCGACGGATCTCGACATCGCCAACAGGCCAGTTCTGTGCGCGGGAAGCTTGTGCAGAGTCATGATTGGATATCCGGAGCCTGCCGAGAGCTATTCGGATCCCAGCCAGGTGGATAGAACTCCAGCGGAGGATAATGCCGTCGGCTCACTTGCCACACTTCTTGTCTGCAAGGAAGCTCACTCCCTTGTCTCGTGCCTGCTTGGGAGACCAAGGATCTCGCTTCTAGTGAATCATCGCTTCTGGGGCCGGGAGTCGCGACAAGTCCTGTCAGCTCTACAACCACCAATGATCTCTACTGCGATGGTCGAGGAGAGGCATTCTTGCTGAATGCCTTGATCTTCGGATTGCAGCAGATCCAAGATGATGCGGTTGGACTTTTTGGAGATGTTCGGAGATGTCGGAATTCGGAGGTCGCCGTGTCGAGTTGTCGTTGTACGCACTTCGACCGTCACCGAAACGAGCAGAAAGTCATTATCAGAAGCTGCCATTGACCAGGAGCTACAAGAGCTCAGCCAGGAGCAGTGTGTTCCCAAGAGCTTTATACAGACAGGAACTACGGAAGGGCAGCGCATTCCATCTGGACATGGGCCAGCAGGGCAGAACAACGCCTTACCCGTTAAGGTGGAATGCGCTCTTCCAACGCGTTCGAGCGCAGGGTTTAGCCTCTGTGCTGCTGGGCTGCATGAGCCGTTTCTGATCGGATTGTTGCTTTGCGGATCATACCCGAACCTACGAAGCTATGACGGTGCTAAGGCTTCCCCAATATGATGGTTTGTGTCGTGACTGCACTTCCCAAGAATGGTGCCGGTTCCTCTTATGAAGAGTAGCTGGATACACGAGGTGAGGAAAGCAGGCGGCGATCCTGGATGTATCCCGTGCCTGACATCCAGAATAGGTCTCATCGTCCCGCCAGGAAAAAGGGGTGCAGGTCGTCCATTCATGTGTTTTGTCGGGTGGATGATAAGCTCCGGAGTGAGCTTGACACCAATGCTCGGGTCAGACATGCCAAGGCTACCCTGGAAGGATATGCAAACGACAGCTTCCATTTCAGAAAGACATGCGGACAGTGGAAGCAACATGCATCGCTATAGCAGACGCATTGCGCGTAGGGATGCAGAGGGATGCAGCGGGAACAGGACTGCTCTGCTGGCAAGCCGGTCTGAGCTATGCAGAGTTTCTGCAGTGGACTGTGCGGTGTAGCCGGGAGGCTCTGCAGGCTGCATCAGAGAGCACTCAGTCGACATAGGCCATGAAAAAGCATTCAGTCAGCTTGGCGCAACCCAGCAGGATTGATTTCAATGTTATCTATCAGTATATACAGTATAATATAAGATAACTTTTCGACCATGCTTACAGAGGGCTTTGCATGTTGAGGGACAACGATTCTGTGATCCATTGATCCATGTGGCGTGCACTCCTTCTGGTGCCTGCTGCGGGTGCCCCTAGCGTGGCTTGCCCAGGGCTGCAGCAGGGCAGCTTACAGGCCAGAGCTGGTCCACCGTAAACGGGGGAGACTTTTGCAGTTCTTTGGCTTGTGGCGGGGGTATAGGGAGCCCGTCACGGAGAGTGCATTGGCTTCCCGTGTCCATGGAGGTGTGTGAAAGGTGCGTGCACGACGATCTTTGCTCGTGGCTTTGTTTGAAAAAAGACTTCCTTTACGACCAAGCTGCCCAAGTTATCATAACTTCTGATCTGTCTTGATGGTTGCGACTCTGGTGTCTTCAGCCGAGGGCGGGGCTGTCATGCGACTCCTTCATGCAGAAATGCATTGAACCAGCGCCTCGCCTGAAGTGCAGGAAGGCTTTGGACAAGGCTGTGCAGGGCTACAAGCAGATTCGTGACAAGCTGAGGCATGGAATGCTTCCGAGGCTTTGGAAGCCTGTCCAGAGGACTGCTTTGCTTCTGGAAACTCAGGTCGCCATCCCAGAGGGTGCAAAAGAGTCTCTTGCTCGTTGGATCGAGTCTGAGCCATGGCTCTAGCAGCAATTAGCAGAATTAGCAGTTGGCAGTCTAGCAGCAGGCTCCTTGTTCTTGACCCCTTGCTCCTCGCGTTAGATCTGTGATGCTTTTGTTTCACACGCAGGACCCAGAGCGGCCCGAAACTTGGGCAGCGCAGTGCAAGCTGTCCTGTTCTGACCAGCAGGCGGGTCCCTTGGCGCAGGTCAACTCTGGTCTTGGGATGTCAGACGTGCCCTCTGTCCTCCTCGCAGCTAGTCGCAGGGACTAGGGGTGCCACGCGATGTTCAAAGTGTGGTGGTGCCAGCTTTCTAGGTTCTAGATGTCTATACCGATCGCAGCCTACAATCTTTCCATACGTATTCATTGCAGGATATACGTTGACACACACATCCATTCAGACAACGTCAGCTTTGAGCATCTTTGTTTGCAGTTTGTCTATGGTCCGTGTGCTGTGCGCCCTTCTCTCATGCCTGGCACTGGCATGCGATGCAGCAGAAGAGCTCCCCACAGAGAATTCGACCTTGAAGTTGTGGCCCGTCTAAAACAGCCTTCTGTTCGTTGAGCGGCGTAGGCTGCGTGGGTTACGTCTGTGGATGCCCAGGACTTGTTTCGGCTGGCGCTTGGAGCAACCAGAGCTCATCGTTACAAACTCCGGGGCCTTCCTGAACGGAGTTGCGATCAGTGATGATCAGCTGCGGAGTATCCACGAGGTTGCAAACGATCTTATTGTTACCGACGACAAAGTTCTCACAAACTTGGACATGCTGGCAGGGATCCAACGAGTTGGCGGCAATGTCGAGATCCGCTACAACTCAGCCCTTCAGGATTTCTCAGGTTTGTCAGGCCTGCAAAGCGTGGGAGGGTCGGTAAATATTATCGGCAACAGAGGCGTTCAAGATCTGGCGGGCTTCGCCGACTTGAGAGTAATCGGAAGGTTTTTGAGGGTGCATCACAACGAGCGGCTGGAACTACTTGGTGGATTTGACTCGCTGACCCGTGTCGGCAGAGATCTTTCCATTCGTGGAAACAGCAAGCTTCAGAGCATGCCGCGAGGCTTGCCTGCATCTGACTCTGTCCTTCGTCTTGCGTGCTTGGATAGAGCTTTTCGTCTTGTAGATGCGTTGCTGTTGCGTAGTGTCTTTATGCCGGATCATGTCGCCATTTGAACTTGAGCTGCGGCAACACTCTTTGAGTAGACAGGCTAGCACTCGAGATTCGGAGATTCGGAGATTGTATGGCGATTCAGAGCTGCATTCCTTTAAGGAATGCCCCAGCTGAAGATGGTTGACGGCAAGGTGGAGGCGGTGTGGGGAACTGCAGCCGGGAGTTGAGAGACGCAGAGGGATGGTTGAAAAGTGCCAATATGTGCATCTGTGTAAGTTGAGCAGCGCGCGATCAATTTGTGACAAATAAAATGCTTTGGCCGATGTTGATTTTTGTTCAGCAGACACTGAGATGTGGAGCACCTCCCATCAGCCGTGCTCTATCGTGCGAAACAAAGAGCCTAGCAATCGGCACTGTGTGAGGTTTGGGCAATGAGTGTCGACTTTGTGCATCAGTCGAGGTGGTGTTCAACAGAGCCATGAGTGCAGCTTATGGAATGGAGTCCCTCGAGTTTATTGGGGGGGACCTAGCGATCAAGGAGTGAATCTGGCTTTGGCGTGTAGCCTCACAGTCTTTGACCGAAGTCGAGTCCACGCGGTCCACGCGTGAGGACAACGATAACCTGACCAACATGACTATGCTGCCGGCAGTTCGGGAGATCGTTGGCAAGTTCGAAGTAAGCTACAATCAGGCTCTGCTGGAGGCCCGACATAGAACATGCTGCTCTGTCCAGTACCGTGATCCAGGGGTTTGACGCCAGGTTGGTGGACTTGAGAACCTTACCCAGAACCTGAGCCTGCACTGAGTGAAGGGGTTGTCAGCTGCACCATCGATTCCGGAAGTCATCGTGGCATGTTGTTCAGATCTGTGATCAAGACTGGTATGTTAGCCTCTACGGTCGACCGCATAGACAGTGCCGGGAGATGTAGACACTGAGCGCACCTCGAGGTGGCAGAATTGGGAAGGCCGGAGGAAGTAGCCAAGAACTCTCCTGACAAGCTTTGCTTGTCTAATCTTAGCCCGATGAGTCGCAGTGATGTCGAGCACTGTATCAGGACTAAGTTCGGAGTGCCAGCAGATGCTGGCAATGTGTCCGTCGACAGGGATGGATGCTGTGCAAGTTGGCAACAGCAAAACCTCGGATCAAGTGCTCGAGTGGACGTGGCGAGGGAAGCTGCGCGACCAGGAGAATCAAAAGAGTGTAAATCAACTACATTACAAGGTGACCTGACACGATAGTTGCGATCATGGGACCCGAAATAACAGTGTCAGGTCAACTGCCCAGCGACCCCGTGAATTGGTTGGGCTGGGTTTGACTGGGCTAGGTTGCAGGTTTACTGGGTTAGAGCTAGCTAAATTCGTGATAATTAGTGGGTGTACATTGCGCAAGCCGATCGAGGTTGAATCACGTCAGACTCGCTTCGGTAGGTTAGCAAAGTCAAGTTCGATGTGTTTGAGACTATGATTCATTGGGCTTGTTCGGGGTCGGCCAGAGAAGCAGGAGGTTTCGGGAATGCAGCTAGCTCGTTTGTTGTTCGTGCGATACTTTCTTTCTTGTCTTCTCATCATCTCAGGCGGGCGTGCTCATACGCTTGTTTGTTTGCCAGGGCTGCTCCAAAGATTCTCGGGATGCCATTCCAAAATGTGAAGGCTGAACTTGACCTACAGGAAGATGCAACGTGCGAGGGTATAGTGGGTCGGTACACTAGTCGTCAATGCAGGAGCAAAAAATTATCTACTGTGGTGGCTTTAGTGCAGGACGTGGGTGGCCAGGGGCAGTGTTCGTTTGCATTGGCTTGTCCTGTCTCAGGATTGGAAGCCTGGCAGTGGTCAGCAACCCATCGCTCAAGATCGCCGACTTTGCGAACCTATCAGTTGTCCATGGTGCGGCTGAGGTCATGTATAATGAGGCGTTGCAGGAACTGGGCCTCAAGAAGCTTGTATCAGTTGGCGTGACTTTGGGAGATGGCGAAAGAGATGACAAAGACGACGAACCAACTCACCTCAAGCTCAACGACAACGACAACATGACGCAAGTCGAGCTTCCCAGCCTTGCTTCTATCGCGAATCTGGAAGTACGTTGGAATGCGCAGCTAAAGCAGGTCTCGACGACTGTGGCGTTCACCCACAGTATCATTATCGAGGCAAATCACCTTCTGCAAGAGATCCTTATGCCCAACACCACAGAGATAAATGGCGAGCTTCGTGTGGCCTTCAATGCAGTGATTCCTGACATCTCCAGCTTCGATTCGCTAACGCTTGTCAAGGGTGATATAAACATTCAAGAGAACAAGGGCTTGCGGGACATGTCTGGCTTCGGGAAGCTCCGAGCAGTGACAGGAGACTTGCAGGTAACCTCCAATCCAGCCCTACAGGATTTGAGTGGCTTGTCCTCCGACTTCAGTGTCGGAGGGAACTTGCAGATCTCAGAGAACGACAACTTGTTGGGGCTTAGCGGCATGTCTGCCCTGCCCGACGTGAAGGGTTTTGCCGTCCTGAGCTTCAACTGTTCGGGCAACTCTGTGAGACCTGCGAACACCGCAACATGCACCCAGGCCGCAGGTCAGCAAGTAGGACAAACAGCTCGCCGTTGCTGCTGTTGCCTGTTCTTTTGTTTGGTTTCCCAGCAGCATGTCTCAGCACGGTGCTTTGCTGGCAGACCAGGCGTTCCTTGCGAAGCCTGGCACTACGCCGAAGATCAGCGCTGCAAGGTCAATTACACGTTTCTCGTCATTGTTGCTTTCGTTTCTATCCTCTCCTTCTGCATCGTTGCCACCCTCGTCGTGACTTTCAGGCTCATGCTGGCATTTCTTGCTGCATGCTGTCTGCCTGAGTATGTTCACCCCTGCAGCTTTTGAACCTGTTTCAAAGTGACCATTTCAACATAACTATTTCAACAGTTCATGCAGGAAAGTCATGCCAGTGGAGAGCATCGTGTCGGCTCCGGGCAGGGTCCTCCTCAGGACTCAAGACAGGCGGACGTTCCACTGTTCTAGCCTTGCCAGACTTTGCATGCGAGCCCTTGTTCCGCGAAGACTGCAGTTGCCCTGCAGGCATTACTTGCTCCGAGGCGTGTGGAGCCGTGACTTCCCGTTGGTCATACACGGCACAGGCATATGTTAGGGCGTATGCGTGTGTGTGTGTGTGTGTTATTGTTGTTCATGCTCCTTCCTGCAATCGCAGGATGCGATCTCCTGGATAAGCCGTCTAAGAGGCCTCTCAAAGCCAGGGCTGTCAGCGCTGCTTGATTCACAATGGGCGAAGACGTTATTTTCTTGAATAGTTGCTCGAAAGTTCACGATAGGCTACCCTTTGTGACTATGCTGGCAATACACTCGCAGGACAAAGAGCTTGAGGTCCTGGTAGTCGTCGAGAAAACAGGGAATCCGAGACGGTCCATGAGCTCTCTCCAAGACATTCCTTTATTTATGGACGCAGCTCGGCTGACTTCTGTTTCAGCGAGATCAGGCTGGGGCCGCAAGCTTGGCAGGTATTGCAGCCAGAGCCAGGCTTTGGTATGCCAGTCGATGCCATGGCTCCCTTCTCAGGGGAGAATCCGGCACGTGCTTGCGCATGGAACCTTAAGCAGCCCGAACCCTCAGGCTTCAGGCAGCACTGTCATCAGTGGCCAGGGGGTGGCCCGTGTCAGCTGCCCTTGGGAGCTGCGGGTGGTTGGCTTTGGGGTGCCTGCTGCGGCATCTTGGATCAACCAGCCCGGTGTTCTTCCATGGCTCGGAGATGGTTCTAATGAGTGTGAAGTGAGGTCTGGCTGAGCCTCTTCCTAGTAACGATTGCTGCGTTCCTTGGTGCTGGATTCTTGCTTGGCATCGAGCCCGCGATCATCCTAGATTCAGTCGGCTGCGGCTCCCTCCTAGGGGCGGGAGTGTCCCTGGCCTTTCGAGTGCCTCGCATTGTCACAGTTAAACTTGTTCTAGACGAGTAGGTGCCAGACTGAAGGGAGCTTTTCTTGAATTGCTACAGTGTCGGGGAGTCTGGGTTTCGTGTTCAATTCGCCTCCACCGCGGGTTATGCGCTCAAAGTACAGGCCTATGCGATCCGTCGCAGACACTGGAAGAGGCGTGCTCGGAGCAAGGCAGTTCGAGAGAAGGCCCTACTTGGGGATTTGGAGCATGCTGTGCGGAGCGGAGATGACCCAGCCGTACATCGCATTCAGTACGAGCTGCAGTCCATGAAGTCCTGGGGGCCTCAGCGCTTTTCCTCGACATTGCATGCGGTGAAGCAGAAGCAAAGTCAGGAGGCAGGAAGCGACAGCAAAGCAAGTATACAGGTCCACAGGCATGCTTTTCCCCGCCCGCTGAGGCAGGCGTCAGCATCTCGTACTTGCTTTCCGCGGAGTTCAAACTGCTTGCACAGACACGCAGCAAGTTGGATGATCCGAATTTCTACGATCTCAAAGATGCATTCTTTCTCTCCACCGACCCAATAGCAATTGGCAGCGACAAAGTTTGCCCTCGTGACGGTAAGCTGGGATGCGCCCTTGTCGATGTTTTGGACCTTGACCACAGGGGAGACTGCACGCACTTCTTGTCCTGGACCTGGGGGTATTCCTTGAACCTCGTGCGCAGCTCCATGACGGCATGGATTGACCAAAGCAAGATCGATCCTCAGAAGACCTTTTTGTACATGTGCTTCTTTGTCAACAATCAGTACAGGATTCTGCTGGATCAGAATGGCGCAGGCAGCATGGGCTCAAACCTGAAAGATGTTTTCGGCGATAACTTGCAACGGATTGGCCGCATGGTCGCACTCCTTGACGGTTGGGAGAAACCGACATACCTTTCTCGCATATGGCGACTTGGTGGATGAGTTCATCAGTTTTTTGCCGTTTGGAATATGCAGGTCCATGTTAGATGCTGAGTGTTCAAACCTTTGGCCTGTGAAGGACAATTTTCGAGCAGTACACGGCGGTGGTGTTGGAGATCGAGGCTGTTGAGGGAAAGGGTATGCGCTTCAGATGATCATCCCCGGTTGATGATGCCCATCAGCAGGTCACCTTTATCCTGCCCGAAGTGTCTGGAGATAGCTTGCTCGAAGAGATCCGCAAAGGCGAGGAGGGCATTGTGTGGGCCTGAGGCAAAGAGCGACGGCATGCCACGACTGCAAAAGTATGCAATCCTCAATGCAAAGCCAAAAAAAGGGAACAATCTCGCTACCCTTATGTTGTGCCACACCTTGTCAATCACTTCTTGCACAGATGAGCAGTCAGCAGCGTTCAGGTTCGCGTGCGGGACTCCCTTTGCGATGTCGATGCCGAGATCGCGTGCGCATGGTGTCCAGAAGACGAAATGCAAGTCAAAAGTATGATCGAGGAAACCATCGGCTTCGAGAAGGTAAACGCCAAGGTGCAGGAACTTATGATTGCTTGGGTGGCAACCATGGTCAAGGACTCTCTGCGGTACTGCTGAGTGCGCTCGACATTCAGGATCCCGTTTGCTATTCTCCATAAGCCTGCAAGGACTATTTGGGTGGCCTGGTCGTGAGTGGGTCTCGGCGGTTGAAGCGCTCGGGAGCACGGACACAGCTCCTTTCAACTACGCCGCTAGACAAAATGAATGTGTGGATATGTTGCAAGAAGCCAGGCCTCTGATTGATGTTGTTTTGTTTTGTGACAGGACTCTCGGTCACAGGTCAAGCACCAGGACGAACGCCAGCACAGTGGCCGCTTCGATTGCCAATTTGTTTTCGCAGCTTCGAGTGTTGGACCTTATTCGGGGTGGCTTCGTTCTTAGCAGGTCGTAGCACGCCAGTAGAGGAGCTACAGCTAAGGAATTTTCGAGAAGTGTTTCACTCATTGAGAACACGACTCTCCATGTTCCCATGAGGAGTTGATAATTGCTTGGCTTCGTTCAGACTTGTCTGTTGAGTCTTGTGCTTTGTCGTAGGGTTTCTGAGCCTGCAGAGTGTCTTGCAAGCTGCTTGCCGGCTTGCCTGTATTGGGAATTCCTCATAGCTTTGTTGAGAACCGAAGTTCTGAATATTGTTTGGCTTTTTTGTGTTTTACACTCTTGCCAGCTAGGACAGGAAAGTCTCGGTTTCAGTACTTAGCGTCAGTGCAGGTTCGAGTCTACACGACGTCCAGAGGAAAACCTACTAATTCCATGCGGGAGCTTGCTTCTTCCCTTCATGGAGCACGTTACGGCTCGGGCCAATGTAGTGCTTAGGGCGTGGTTCCAACAGGGTGTGTATCAGCTTGCAATAGCTTTCTTAGCATTCCCCCTATGGCATAGGAAACCCGATACTTTTCCGTAGCCCTTCCGACTGACAACTGCTTGTGCTGGCAATTCGGCACAACCTTCGATTCCTTGTCCACATTCGAAACGCCACGTTGCATCCATTTTCTGACTGCGAACCTTCTCCGTGCAACAAGCACTCACCCTAGTGAGTAGGAGGCGGCGGCCCCATGCGACATGTTGTCATATGCCAGACCTCTACTCTGTGACAGCCGAGCCAAGGTGTCGTTGCAACCGGTCCGAACGGGGCCTCGCGGTGAGCCTGTATGGGCAGCTTACATGTACGGGTCTTCCACGAACGTGGAGACCTTTTAAATTTTAAGCCTGCGATGCTATTATGCAGTACATATGCCTTGGAAAGCCGTGCTTAGGAGTGCAAGCCCCTGGCACGTGCTAAGAAAGAGAGATGCGTCTCCAGTACTGGCCAGAATAGGCGCTCACGTGCTGCGGAGTGCTTACGAGTGGGCACTGTACTGTAGTGCGGGGATGCGGTTCGCCGCCGGTTTCTACAACTTTGTTCTCGTGGAAAGTGCCCTCTCTCTTTCTGCCCTTTACAAGTATTTAAAGCCATATCCTTTCCGCGCGCTTCTCAGGTACGTGTCTGAAGCGTCACGGGTGTTGCCATGGTCAGACGGCCGATTGCGCAGCAAAAGTTCGCGCAGAAGTGCCCTAAATGTATAGGTCGTGACCTGCTCCCGGTTTAAACACGTGCTTCGACCAGAGAGCACGTTAGATGCTTCCGCTCGAGCCGAGTTGCAGCGGAACACATGGCATTGAGCCAGAGCCGTGTCTGTTTCAGCCGTGCGTGGAACGCGAGCTTTTTGTCGTGTTCGAAAATGAAGGCTCACTTTTCGGCCTGACTAGGCATATTAGGCCATAGAGGCCTTTCAGTGTTTCAGTGTCCTATGTGTTCGTCGGCATATCTGGGCATGTCTGAAACTCGAAGGCTCACTTTTGCCGCCGCAGCATTGGCCAGAATGGCTTGATAAAGGAAGTGAGGCGGAGTTGCTGATCTACACAAAGTAGCTTCAGGCTTGGACGAGCTTTATGCATTACAAGTGCCAGCTGAATGATGAAAAATGGCTTTCTCCTGGCAGACATTGGGAGCCAAAGCGTATACGCCACTCTAGTCTGGATGCCCACCAAGTCACACCAAGGCACTTCATGTGCTGATTGATGCTCACGCTGTCGATTATCTCGATGCATGCGCATGACAAACTGCAACATGTGCAGGCGCCGTGGGGATGCGCAGTCAACCATTGCCTCAATGAGGCCGTCTGAGGGATTTGGTCCTGGTCTGTTGACCATCTTGCTCTCATTTTCCCGTCTCGCAAGGACTTCCCGTGCAATTGGGTGGCGGGCTGTGGCATCCCAGCTGGACTTTCCCGAACAAGAGCCTTGCCTGAACGAGCCCCTTATCGATGGCTTAGGTCTCAAAGAAGCGGCTTGTGATTTCTTCTGTACATGTGTCGCTGAGGTCTTGCTTGCTTGCGAGGCTGCATCGACCACGACGAAATGCTCAGGACCCTGGCACGTGCGGTTGATGGTGCTTCTGTATTTTTAAAGCGGTGGGAGGACAGCGGGCTACGGAGACACGACTTGCCCTGATGCCACTGGGGAGAAACTCACGCAAAATCCATTGTGCAAACAGTGCAACACTCGCACCTGTCAGGTCATCTCAAAGTTCGGATGTCAAGGCGGGTGCTAAAGTCGAGCTAGGAGCCCCTGAGCATTGTTGCCGCTTGATTCAGTGAATGCATGAAGACGTCTCGATGCAGGCTTGTGGGCTCCAATCTCCGAGTTTTGCCCAGTCTCCTGTTCGACAGCAGAATGCCCCTACCGCTGCAATCGCGATGAAGTGGCCAGCGTGGACCAGAAGAGGCTTTGGAACATGAGCGCTCAGCACTGGCGGCTAGCGGCTAGTGCGAACTCCAGTCCTGGAGGTGCTGGCAGAGAGTGGAAGACGATGGCGTCAGCTGTGTAGATGCCATCCGCTCTGGTCAGGCCATGCCGCTTTCCCAGCCTGTGACAAGCTGTGTGAAACCTGTGTCGTGCTTTGAGATCAGGACTGTCACTGTAAATGTGCGAGCATTTACTTCACTCAGAGCGGCGTGCAGGGACGTGTTCCTTGGCAGTTTGGGTCGTCTATCTTCATGCCGGAGTAAATCCTTTCATCGCTATGCTGGGTGTCGGGGTAGTGGCGATGATGGTGATGGTGAAGATGACGACCACTGCTCGGACATCGTAGTGAGACTGATCAGCGAAGCGAAGTAGTCAGGGCAAGGCGATGTCTGGTGTCCGTAATGAACTTGAAAATCAAACATCGAATGATTGATTGCCTTTTGAGTATTGGCCGTCAGATCCGAACCAAACCACACCCAGAGAGGGCGCCAACTACAGCAGGCTTCAATGATTGTGTCATGTATACTCTGCAGGCTCTCAGAGTTGTGCACTGCTCCAGGTATCGTGTGTGTATGAGCCCCTAACACATACGGAGCCAGAGGCCCGTTGCAACTGACGGTTCCGCAAAGCTCTGAGGCAAACGGAGGTGCTTTTCAGATCAGTGATATGGTGGATGGAGTGCCTCTTGCTGTGAATCGAAAGGCAGGTGTTGCAGAAAGCCTCGTCCGGCATTTGACTATTCTCGTCTTGGCTGTTGATTGCTCTTTCAACTTCTTGACTCTTCGTCGGCTGACAGGCATTTGCGGGACGTATGTTCACCATCGATTTCACTGGTGAACGAATGCGTGCGGAAGACCCTGGCAATTCGCAAGGTGAAGCACTGAGCTGCGTCGTACTTACTGCTTGCATGCAACAAGAGCTTTGTACTACTGCAGTCCAGGACCTCGAATGAAAATCCTCAGAGAAGGTGATGTCTGCAGTGGCTTGGCAGATGACAGACACGGGACCGGTTGCCCGCCCGGGGCCACGCGAAGGCAGAGATCCGCTGCCAGCCAACTTGACTGGCATCGAGTGCCGACAGCCGAGCCAATCTGGACTGTTTACAGGCACGACACATTGTCAGATCAAAGGAGGGGGGCCCACTGGCAAGAGCTTGGCAGGCTGGGTATGCACGACACCGCCCTCCATGGCCACCGAATTCTTGCACCGCTGGGGTGGCATAACCGTGAATGCCCCCAAGCTGGAACAGTCGCTTTTCGTTGTTAGGACCGCTGTGATCATGGATCAGCTTCCGCAGGATGCCTGCAACGAGCCTAAAGATATCGCACCGCAGAACTGAGGCATGTGGGAAGTTCCAGCTGTGCCACTGCAACCGGATGTGTGACATTGCGGCCAATTGGGTCCGTGCAGGCAACCTGGAGGTGGAGCCGGTTCTCACTTGGGGCAGTGGCTTGGCCCCTTCCGAGAGAGATTTGCAAGCGTAGAGGCGTAGAGTCCTTCGCTGGAATGTGAGATGCAGCCCGGTTTGCCAGGTATGGACCAACCACTTCCTGGTTGCGATGCATACATTCCAACCTTGCCACCGCCACCTGACCCCGTCGAGCCTGTGGAACCCCAGCAAAAAGCAGCATTGCTTTTTTGTTAACGTTCGAATCACGCTCACTTATCATCGCTCTCTCGACTGTGATCAGCTCGAGTCTGCAGCCAGATCCCCGGCACGAAGTCCCAAGTGTTTTGCTTTGGTTCATGGGCTGCAGATTGCGATCTCGGAGTGCAAGTAGGACATCGAGCACAGCACTTGCATCCTGTCTTGTGCTTGGTTGTACTCGCAACTTCCCCCGTCAAGCTTCCAATTAATCGACCCGGTTGTGGACACCTTCACTAACATGTCCAAACCGTCGGAAGTGCCAGAGGGAAGCGCGAACTGGCATGCCTTTGGAAATGGGTCGCAATGTGTTTTTCCAAAGCGTCCCAACCGTTGTGGCCAACAACCCGAAGCAAAAGAACCGAGCCTTCAACGCTGAACCATCGGCCATAGACTGATGGGAGTCGCTACGAGCTCTGGTCTAGCCGGACAAGCATCACAAGGGGGTTTGGCAGCTAGACACCTTTAGGGAAGGAATTAGGGTTGTTCGAGTGTCATACCTGCTCAGCTCTTTCGAGGAGATACTACAAAAGTCTATTGTCACCATCTACGTCAGCATTGACGGCGGTCTGCAGCCACAAGACGTCGTGTTCTCGGCGATCGCGGCGGCTTTTGCAAGTTACACATCGATCAGGCAATGGAGTGTTTCAGAACCTTCCGGCCTGAGACTGAGGGTGGCCATCAGCTTGTCCAGCGCCTCTGTGCAGGTCAAACCTGCTCGGCAAGGTGGTTCCGGAAACAAACGATGTCGAGATAGAGGACTTCGACCGTTGCTCGGCGATTGATGGGCACATCCCAGCCTGATGTTCTTGTCACTTCGTCCTGATCGGAGGCCCCTTTCGCAGGCTGCACACTGTCAGGACGCGAGTTGATACATGCATGTGTTGCTATCGTCTGCTGCATGAGGCGGTTAGTTCCATGCGCTTCAAAATGCAGTCTCGGAAGCTAGGTGGGGCATGTGTCGCGACTTCGTTCAGGAGGGCCGCAGAGTGTGCAGACGACGATGCGGAATTCGTGGCCAAGGTCACGGAGCTGATTTGCGTCGCAGGAGTGAGCCGAGTGAGCGGATGCCTGCCGCCAGTCCAGCTTGGGGGTGACCAGCTGCGCAGAGGCAAGGACTCTGTTCCTGGCATTCTACCAGGCTCGAACTTTGTTGCTGAGGCCTTGACGGCTCTAGGAAACCTGGATCTACTCTGCTCTGACGAAAGTCTACAAGCAGCAGCCGGATCCCCAGCTTCTCAGACTGAATCCTATGCCCTAGACCTTTGCCTGGAAGTCTTCGGCACGTCCGAGCGGCTCAAACCTTGGCTCAACTTGGAGTGGAGGGAGAGTGCAAGGCCTGCCATGGACATGCACTCAGAGGGGTTCAGCCGCTGCTACTTATTTAGTTGAAGCCGCAGCTCTTGTGCAGAGCTCGGCGTTCAACAAAGAGCAGCGATGTAACATAGCAGCAGGAACGCATGCAGATCAAGTTCAAGATTCAAGCGTTCACAGGCTCAGCTTTGTCCGCGGCGACGTCATCGCACTGCTGGCACTTCGTGGACGAGGATGAGAGAGGCTGGCTGATCGCATCCAGCGTCCTCTGCCATGCGTGACTACCTCGACATCTTGCCCAACGGTCCAGATGCTCATCGGCAAGCAACTGCTGGTGGTGGTGGCGGTGCTTTGCAACAATGGGTGCAAAGATCCTCAAGCCGAACCGCTTGCGACGATGGTGACCTCCCATGTCGTGATTCAATGAATGCCGGTAGAACTCGCGCGGGAGAAAGTATAAGGATGTCACTGTAGGGTTGGCCTTGTACAGGAAAGGTGCATGCGCGGGTTTGTGCGCACTTGGAGACGACTGCTCCCAACTGGAAGGGTCTAAAAGCCAGCCTGCCTGAAGCGTAATTAGTTGAGGTTTGCACTCACTATACAGCTGCACCGCCAGGGTCGTGGACATGTTTGACTTGATGTCATGCGGTAGCTTCAACCAGACATGTGTTCGTTCTGAGGCGCCTCGGCTCACCTGCATCTTGTCTATAGGCTCTTCTGCTCATGTCGGCTTTTGTGGTTCTCCCACAGGCCACCCAGGTGCCTCGTGTGGTGGAGTCGATCTACAGCCCCGGAGCAGCTTCCAATGGCAGCCCTGGGCTGGCAGGCCGTTTTGAAGTCTGGTCACTTCATGTCCATCATGGAATATCATGGAATCACGTCCCTTCACTCTCAGACCCTCCGACCCTCTCGACAGGCGCGGACGTCTCCAACTGGGTGACAAGCGCTGCCTTGGCGACCGTGGCAGCTGTGTCTCTCTACAGAGCCATGAGAAAGCGGAACTGGTCTCGAGTAAGCCTTGGACCAAATGGTGGCCACTTGTCATTGCTAGGGCTCGCGGAAATAAAGTACAGCATGCAGTGCAGCGGAACCTTCAAAAAATAGCATGTGTCATATGCAGAGCAGAGTGCTAGCGTGCCAGGCTGCTTCTACGAGTACAAGTTTCGCGCCAAACCTGGTGCCAAGTACAGGTATCGCTTCTCAACAGACGTCTATACTCCAGAGTGGGGCCACTTTCCAAACGAAGAGAAGGGCCGCCTGATCCGCTACGGCCAGCTCCTGAACAAGGGCACTGTGAGAATGCCGATGGCTGACACCGACGATGACAACGATGGTTGGGGGCTGTTGGGCGGTGCATCTAGTGACGGTGCTGCTGGAGCACTTCTGTTGGATTGCGACGGCACGCTAGCCGAAACAGAGCGAGATGGGCACCGTGTTGCGTTCAACAAAGCCTTCGAAGAGAAGGGCTTTGACGTTGAGTGGGATGTTGATCTTTATGGAGATTTGTTGACCACTGGTGGTGGAAAGGAGCGAATGACCCGGTACTTCAAGGAAGTCAACCCTGATGCCTGGAGCTTTGCAGACGAGCCCTCGCCCGACAACCCTGTCATCATGGAGCTGCACGAGTTGAAGACGCAGATTTTCATGGATATCGCCTCGCGGCTGAACTAGCGTGTCTGCCTGCCTGGCTGGCTGTCTGTCTGCCTGACTCTGCTTGTATGTCAATGTGGGCACGTATAATAAGCAAAAACATACCTAGATGTATGTATGTATGTATGTATGTATGTATGTATGTATACAATGGATGTACACACGCACACGCGCACACACACACACACATGTGTATGTATATATATAATATTATATATATATGTATGTATGTATGTATGTATGTATGCATGTATGTATGTATGTGTGTATGTATGTATGTACGTACCGATACGACATCGGAGTATCTCTCTCTCTCTCTCTCTCTCTCTCTCTGTCTCCCTCTGTCTCGCTCGGGATCCGGTCTCCCTGTTGGAAAATTTCTGCTTGGGGTCTGAGGTGAAATCAGGTGAGCTCCCCCTGCGTGAGGGTATCAAGGCTGTCGCATTCCTTCGGCCGTAGGCTTGAGACATAGAATCAGATGGCGGCAAATCGTGCAGTTTTGCCAGGAGCTGATCTCTGCGGCCGATGCTGCAGGCTGGCAGTTGGCCGTGTGCTCAACGAGCAACGAGGTGCGACTGCGAAGATCTGCAAGAGGCACATCCGTGCGGCATGTGATCTTGCGAAGTGTCGAGGCCTCTGTTCGAGCAGTGGTGGAGACAATGCTGCCCGATTTCGCAGACAAGATCAAAATCTTTGCTGGAGACGTGGTTGCTGCCAAGAAACCGGATCCGGCGACCAGACTGAAAGTCGTCGTTTCTTTGGGCTTGCTTGAGGGGTGGTGTAGTTTTGAACCGTTTTTTCTGTAGGGATGTGTCCAGGCCATCTACAAACTGGCTGCTCAAGAGCTCGGTGTTGCACCAATGCGGTGCGTTGTGGTGGAGGATACCGGCATCGGAGCACAAGCCGGCTCGGCAGCCAACATGAAGGCCCTTGCCCGAGTGCCGACGATTCAACCACCGTTTTAGCAAGAACTTGCGCCGCAATTTTCTAGCAGGTCGTTGTCACCAAGAGCGTCTACTCGGCCAAGGCTCCCTTGTGTTTTTCCGTGACAACCTTAGATTAGTGCAGACCTGGGAGGAGTTTTTCGGCGATGCTGATGCGGTGGTCGAGAGCGCCAGCGAACTCGACTTCGAGAAGGAATGTGTATGTACGGGCGGTGAGCACTCCAAGAGTCTTTTTGCTTTGGTGCAGGACATCGCCTCGATGCTGCCAGTGCTGGAGCTGGCATGAACACCCGCCCGTAAACCAGCTCCATGTCGACTGAACTCATCGCAGACCTCTGTAATTGAGGAAAAAGCGCGTGCTGCTGGGTCTGCCAGTGAAGTACTTGTATTTTTCTGTTGGTCAGCTCGAGAAGTCTTCCAGGGAGTGACGCAGCCCAGTCGAGACAGCCCCTTAACAGGATCGTCCGTTTGGCACGCACTGGTGCTGCACCTTGGCTCAGGCGTTGCTTGCGAAGCAGGCCTTCTGAATGCCATCCGCATCCGTGTCTCCTGCCCCCTGCAGCAATGGCGGAGACATCCATGGTTGCTTGATTCATGGCCAGTCAACATAGGTCGTGCAGGGCTGATTATGCTGTGTTACGCTGATATGTTGGGTCACTAGACATGGAAGGCAGCGGGTGGCAGAAAGGGTTTGGCGCCAAGGAAAGCGAGCGGACACGCCCGTAAAAGTCGGTGAAGTTGACGAGAACGTCTTCCGGATGCTGATATGGTTTCAAGAAGCTGTGCGATCTTCTTTTGACGCGTGCGAGGCTGCAGTCAAGGTACAAATCCCAGCACATGTCAGCAGTGCACGAGTCGAATTGGAGCGTCTTGGCTCCGGAGACCTATCAGAAGATGACATCTGGAGTTCCCCAGGCTGGCTGATTTGGTCTGGAGGCCCCCCAGACCAAGTCAGACAGCCTGGGGAACTCCAGATGTCATC